AAAAAAATAAAAAAAAAAAAAAAAAAAATGTGCTTTGCTAAAAGAGTAACATGTTTTCGATTTTTCGGCATTTCAAGAATTTGAATATTATTGGACATTTTGAAGTAAAGTGATATATTTATGCAAAAGTATTTCAAATAATGTTCGAATATCGTGAAGACATTGCAATGCCCTGTCAGTTTTGCTATTTGATTAAACATTATTTGAATTCGAAAATGCAGCAGAATGGAAATATTGGAACATATTATTTGTTATATAAAATCAATACTGTCTCTGATTCAATTGCCTATGTAGGTTTGGCCTTTTGGAAAGAATGCCTATTATTACACATAACACATTAAACGCAGCTGCGCAACCAATTGAAAGGGATACTTCGGTAAATGAAGGCTTTACAATTGGAACCAAGTCAGAAACTAGCAATTTGCTGGGAGATCTTGAAGCGCCGCCGTTGCTGGAATCTCCAGAACAACTGGTATTGTCTTTTTATCATTTTGTTAGTTTTACAATATGCTTCTATCTTGTATTTTTATTGTCCGAGTAATCACTTTTAGAAAGTAGCCGAGGCTTCGGATTTGTTTGATTTAATGAACCTTGATCCAAACATTAATGGTCTAATATCTGCAGAATTTATGAACGGCGCGAAAACGATCGATTTGGACGGTATTTTTATTTCTATAATTAAAACACTATGATCAAAACAGGTTTTCAAAGCCTAGAAAATGGACTGAATCACTTCTCTTAATTTATTCAGCTTTTTTTCTTCCTGTTTTATGTTTTTCAGTCATTGCTTTGAATAAACCCTTTCAATCTCTGTAAAATTAGATTTTCTCTATATTTTTGTTTATAGGTTTAATTAATAATTCTTCAACAAATATATCTTCAAAACCAGCAACATCAGTATTGAGCGATTTGGACCCTTTTGACTTATTTTCTATGTATGTTTCCTTTCTTGTGATTTTTTGAAGTATTTTATGTGTATCATATTTGCATACATTTGATTAATTTCAGTTGTTGCTTGTCGATATATTCATGTTATCCGCTTCATAACTTTCTAATTTCATGATGCAGGAATACATCCGTAAAAGCTTCACAACCTTCAACATTGGCAATTGATACGAATGGTATCGAAGGAGTTCTTTATGTCGATAGTACTTTCAATGAAAATAGTGTGGCAACATTGAGGCTTCTGGTTACTAATAATAATCCTTTACCTGTTGAAGCTTTCAACTTTCAAGCAGCTGTTACTAAGGTTTTTTCTGTGTTAACATTACTATATATAACGAGCGCATTTCAATATAATAAAAATTATATCCTCAATTTCTCCTCCCTAATTTTATTTTTTATTTCATCCTTAAATTTTATCCAATTTTTGTTCCATCTATTTGTATTTCATTTGCATATTCGAGAATAAAGGAATGTAGTTTGCCCCATTGTCATAAGTGTTCATGAGTATATTGATGAAATTAATGAAGGGGATGCATAAACTCAGGCTTGTTTTGCTATTGTTTTTTCCAAATTTTATGTAATATTGCAGTATATGAATTTCAGGCATTCCAAATAGAATTGTTGCCTCCATCTAGTTCAAACTTACCGGCCAATCGACAGGGTACGATTATACAGATGATAAACATTAGAAGAATATCATTTACTCATCCAGTAAGTATTTTCGTTGCTAACGATCATATTAAATTTAAATTATAAAAACTCAGTTGAAATCCAAATTACGAAGTCTTTTTCTTTTCGACATTGCAAATGTGTTGTATTTCCAGTTTCAGTCTCACTTTCATTTTTTTTTTTCAGTTGAAAATGAGAATCAAAGCGTTTTACAATATCGATGGGCGACAGCAATTAATAGAGTGTCTGGTGCCAAAAATTGAAGGATTAAGCTGATGTGCTGCTTAACGTTTAAAAAGATTATGCCGTTATCTGTTATGTTTACATGGTATTCTTTTAGCTACGAATACTTAGGCATATTGATAGTTCGATTAAATTTTAATTTCAGTAATATCTATAGTTCGAACAAGTGGATGACACCAATAATACTAGCAGTACTCCTTTAAATGCTGATATTAATATACTGGAAGATCTATTATGCATTTAGAATTTGTATAGTATGCCTTTTTAGTTATGGATGAAAGTATCATTTAATTTCAGTTTTTCTAACTTGATCAAAATGAATCTCATGCGAACTCCATAGGAAAAGATCATATTTGGAAATGGGGTATCTTACAGAGAAAATTGGAAAAAATTATAATTTTGTATTTAGGAACACTGTCAGTTATTCTATTCTCAACAAACATAATGATACGTGCTAAAAAAGTGTCCGTGACATTCCTGAACCTCTAATTTCAGTCAATTTATCCTTTATTTATCCCACACGGTGAAATCAGTTAATAATATATCTTCTTGTTTTGTCTGATTCAAGATGAATATAAAATATTGAGAGGAGTATGTAGTTTTTAATCTAACAACATGAAAAATAATCTTAATTTTCAGTTATTTTTATTTTGATGTTCATTAGGTAATAAATAAGATAACTAAGACGTACAAATTAACTTAACTCAACTCAGCTCTCACTCAGCTCAATCTTTCTGCTTCGTCCAAACTCACTCTGGCATGTCTTATCCTTCATTTGTGTAAGAAAGAATAAGAGCTTGCTTCTTACTAAAAATATAAATGTCACTTTGATGAAACTTTCAACTATCACAAACATGTTTAGATAAAATTTCAGACTAATTGTTCATCTGAGTACAGCAATTGTCCATAGTTTTAGAGGGCAGCTCTCAAACAAATTCAACACGTTTGTGATATACATAGGTTTTTATTTGTTACCATTGTTGATTTCATTATCTGATTTATTCATTTCTTCGAATTTCTATTTCCGGGTGTATCAATTTGCAGATTATTGAGCTTGTAATAGCGATTTTTTCTGCTTATTTTAGTGTGCTTTAAATTGAAGTAGTTCCGAAACATTCGAAGTTGTTATCGTCGTTGTATTATTCCCGATGTTCATTTCAGTTTTTTTCGTTGGTTGTAAATTCAATCGCAGGACTTTAAAAATTTATTACTTTTTAGTTCTAGACTTTGTGCTGCTTGGGTGAGAAGTACTAACTTCAAATCGAGCATTATTTGGTGTTTATTGCAAAAAAAAAAAAAATGAATCTTGAGTTTTGATTTAATTGGCGATTTTTTATATCTGTAACATTAAGGCGTGCATATCGTTTATTTCGTTATATGCGAACATTATATACGAACAACGAAGTCATCCTTTATGTTGTATGCTGTTAGGCATTTCTCGTTTCACCAGTGTCAGTTTGAGTACCGTTTCGTATTTTTAGCTGTTGTGGTTTGATACTTTTTCACATGGAGTACCCGGATATAAAATGTCTAAGAAAAGTTTTGGGGGAGAGGGAAGGAGTAGTCTTTTACAAATTTCCCGAAGTTATAATTAGTAATGGCTAACAACAAATCGAGCTTAGGAAATAAGTGAATATGTGAAAACTTCTAAGACGAAGTTATATTTTCCGGTTTTTATTGTTTTGATATTTATAATTCCATGATTGTATTTCACTTCTCTATCATGCTTTGTTTACTGGTGATCAGAATATTATTGTGGTGAAGGTTTAACCCAAAATTTTAAAAACTGATTGGAAAATTTTGATTCCATGTAATGAGATATTAAGTTACCACTCCAAGATTTGATGGTATTCCGGACAACTTGTTTATATTTCTAACGTTTCCATCATTTCTTGCCTCATATTCTACCACTTTTCATTCTTTTTTGTTTAGTTAAATTTTCTTGGGATAATATATATATGCTTTTGCAATGGATAAAATAAATTGTGAAAAGAGGATTGACAGGCAATTATATTTGTTGAACTTAGTACCACGGGCATGGGCATCAATGGAAGTTCACATTCATTATGTGCGTGTTTATCATAAGGTATAAATGATTTTACGAGTGGAAGGTGACTAAATTTAGCACATGAACTGTTTTTAGCTTCTGATTTCTATCCGAAAACGCTGCATTCAGAAGTTTAGTTCTCAGGGTCCTATTCTCTATTTCAGGCCGGTTTAAAGGATGTTTATGAACACTTTGTTTAGTTCTGTTCGACGAATGCTAGACATTATGAAAATTTAGAACAATATGAGACTCTTGTTGGAACGTAAGGTGCTCTAATATTTTGTTTGAAACTTTCCATACTAGTAATTCTATGGTTTGTGAGCCGGCTTTACTAGTGAAATGTCAAAAACGATCAAAATCACAGATGATCCGCAGTCACATGGTCGCTGTGTTCTGTTCTAGATGTTTTTTAAATGATGAGGTGGTAAACATGGTTACCTTGAAGATTTATGTGTTGCCTGTAATTATTATAATTGATTGCACTTTCAAGTCATTGTTTAGGGTGGAAATTGCTTGGGCGATTAAGCGGTACAGGAATTGCTACGAAGTATGACCGATGCGGGTAGCAGTGAACGAAGGGGAGTGAGAATTAGTGAGTCCAATCGCAAATACGGTTGGTTGTGGTGACAAAGTTTCAGGTGAAATACCGGTACCATTCAATCGACATCATTTGACAAATGTATCAGTCACTTCTATTTTTACTAGTTATTTCATCTCTTGGCTTAAGAATATTGACAGGAAGGGAACACTTCTTATTAACTCTTTTGAACCTCTAATTCGTAAATCTTTCTATGATAAGTTTGCTTTGAAGTAAGGAAATTCAGATTTTAAAAATCGAGCTTTCATAAGAACATACTCACCACTCCATTTCTTGTATATTCAAGATTCTACGTGATACGATTGGTTCTGAATCAATTGGTCGTAATTTTCGTGGTGGCTTTTGCAAATTTGGGCTTTGTCCTGGTATTACTGAGCAGTACATTGTTGTTATAAATGTTAACCAGGTTAATCTCAGCAGATAACTCTGGTTTTCGAATCCAAAATAAGTGAAAACAATTCAAAAATTTAATTGCCCTCCTGTTCAAATCTGATGAAAGGGTCATGTATTAGTAATTTTTAATGTATTTGAAAGGATATTTTTGCAATTCATTTCAACGTCGCGCTAGAAAAGAAAGATAGCTTGTGGGAAACATCTATCAGAAAGTCTTGTGTGCTTGTTCATCAATATCCTCTAAACTTTGCGAGCTTGTTTTATCCGATTTAATGGGATGTTTTCACCGGATAAATTCACCTAAAGGTCCAGAAGCACGTAATTCTATTTCTTTGGTATAAACTGTTTTCAATTATGTGTGAATTCTTCTTGGAGTAAACGTTATTCACTCCGTATTTAAAATTCAGCTAAATTCACTTCAATGAAGAAAGTTTTGTGTTTAATTTTAGAGGACTATATTCACATTCTTCGACCTACTGTTCAATTTCGGAGTTTAGTTTCACTTTATGTATTCGACAAGTCATTCTAAAGATGTGAAATAATGGATTTATTTCAGGATAGCTCACTGCCAAT